AATATTCTGCTTAATAATTGATTCTAATACCTTTCCAATAGATGTTAGACTAATTGGCCTACAGTTACCCATTGTTTCCCTCCCTCTCTTTTTGAATAGGGATATCACATGAGCAGTTTTCAAAATTGGAGGGGGCTCAGAAAAGGTTTACCAGGATGTTGCCGGGACTTGAGGGTTTGAATCATAAGGGAGTTTGAGGGAGAGACTGGATAGGCTTGGACCTTTTTTCACTGCAGTGTAGGAGGCTGAGGAGTGACTTTACTGAGGTTTATAAAATCATAAGATGCATAGATAAAGGTGGACAAAAAACTCTTTTCCCTAGGACGGGGGAGTTCAAAACCAGAGGGGATATTTTTAAGGTGAGAAGAAAGATTTAGAAAGAGTCCGGAGGGCAACTTTTTCCACAGAGGGTGGTTCGTATGTGGGCTGAACTACCAGTTGAAATCATACAGTCGTACAGCACGGAAACGGATCCTTCAGTTCAACTTGTCTATGTCGACCAGATTGCCCAAACTGGTCCCACTTCTCTGCATTTGGTCCATGACCCTCCAAACCTTTCCTATTCATGTCTTTTAAATTATGTAACCGTACCTACATCTAGCACTTCTACTTAGTTAGCATCGACTGTTCTAGAACAACTTGCCATTGAGTGGATATCCATCGGATTGTCAGAGTCCCTTCAGCCAGCATCATTTTTAAAAGGCTGCTTTGCACCCAGGTGAACAATCCGCTGTTGCCCCTCACCAGCAACATAATGGCTCAACACCGTAAAGCCATGCTGCTCACGACATACAGCCTGCATGGCTGACACTCCCTCGCACATACAACCCCATTCTCACACCCTGATCATTGTGTAATCACCATGCTAGGCAGTTTACCTGTCCTTAACTATGTTCCATCTAAACACCCTCTCTAGGACACCACGGTTACTCAGTTCCCAATGTAGTGTGGCGACTTCAGGTAGTAATTGAAGTGTTGACAGCTTCAGCATTGGAGATTTGGTGGGTCCAGTCTGTCCCTCCTTGCTATGGTGGCAATGCAGTGGCTTTGGTGTCAGTTTTGGCAGTGGCAGCGTGGTGGGTCCAGTTCCAAAATCCTTGCTTTGGCAGCAGCGTTCCATAAGTCATTTCATAAACCCAAACTGTCATGGAGGGAACAGAAGATGAACCTTGTCCTAACTTTGTCTCAATTATTTCTTTTTACAACTTCTGTAATCAAAATGGCGTTGAATTGTGGTGACATATACACACGTAACATTTTTCCTAAATACAAGTCACAATAAATTGCTAGTGCCAGGATTAATTGCTATTCGGGTGTTCTAATGAACACCATATGCTAGCATCATGAGTAACGACTAGTCGACAGTCTATGACGACCTACTACACCAACCTCCCATTTATTGGGATCAGGTAGAAATCAGGCCCTCTCTGGCTTGTAATGCCTGATGAAGCTAAGTTACAGCATGCACAGGGAGAGCTCTGTCCTCTCCCACAGAAGATTGCTCCTGCTCTCCCATTTCCTCAGAATTGATCATATCAACTCATTGTCTGCTCTGATTTTGCAAAGTACAGTATACAGCCAGGATGGCGTGGCACACTTTCTCCAGACTATTCTGGAGGGACCTCCCCTGACTGGTCCATGCAAAGGGAAGTGTACCTTTCGCAGCACAATCATCTGCTCCACTACAATCCTGGTTGCACTATGTGCACCAACGTTGTGAAGTTGCTGCACTCAGATGAGCGACCATCAAAAAGAGAATGCCTATGATCCCCTTGCCATCCCAGATTCACATCAATCATTCAAGTTTTTGTTGCATTCAGTAAAGCCCATTGTCATACTTACATGACATATGATGAAGAGATGTTCCCCTCCTCCTAAAGAAGCTTAGAAGTTTCACAAATGATGGGAAGCTTTTGGCCAGAATTTGTTTTTTTTTAATTAAAAAAAAAAAAAAACTGCTTTGTAGCTAACTTCTGCAACAGTGAGGTATCAATGTTAGACCCGTTGGCATGGTGCAATTCACCAACACCAGTAGCCTTGACCAGGCCAACATCGAGGCACTGACCCCCCCCTTGATTGGCCACGATGGGCTGGGCGTGTTGTCTGCATGGCTGACTCCCCAGGCAGATGATCTACTCCCAGCTTCAAAAGAGTAGGCGAGCCCCCGGTGGACAGAGGAAGCACTTCAATGATACCCTCAAAGCCTTCCTGGTAAAGTATGGCATTCCCACAGACACCTAGGAATCAATGGCCCAAGACCATCCAAAGTGGAGCAAGAGCATCCAGGAAGGTGTCGAGCAGATAGACTTGCCGCTGGGAAAAAATGGAAGCCAGGTGAAAACAGTAAAAGGAGCACGCTGCCACACTAACGCCCTACCCATGTCTTCCTGTGACAACCTACTGCCCCAAGCGGGAGAGAGCCTGTGGAAGCTGCACTGGTCTGTACAACCACCTACAGACTTACCCTGAGAGTGGAAGAGAGTCATCCTTGTTTGCAAGGGACTGCCAATGATGATGCTGCAATTCACCTTGGACCAGGATTTGAAATCTGGACACGTTCATCTTGCATGTTTGGCAAATGGGCAGAGAAATGTTTGTAAATTAAATGTAGTTGGAGTTTGCAAACGGATGCTTCTGTATTCGCCCCTTCAATGTCCTATTGTCCAGCAGACGTGGATCTGCACTTTTCACCTATTAAACAAACTGCGACTTGACCCAACTCAACCTGGGCACTTGCCCAATGATTTTTCCAGTTCATTTAGCATTTGAAGAATTCCAATCGATGGCAGATCGCCAGGTCCCAGAACCCACATCAATAAGCATCGAAGGCTGGGGTGTGACCTGATAGAAGTTCATAATTTATGACAGGAATGATTAGGATGTACAGTCACAAGTTTTTTTCCCAGGATGGAAACATAAAATATGAGGAAGCACAGGTTTCAGGTAAGAGGGGAAAAGTTTAAAAGGAGAAGTATGAGGAAAGTTTTTTTTATTAACAAAGGGTGTTAGAGCTTATTGGGGTAGGCAGGAATGTGGAGCAATCAGGGAACCATGATTTTATTGAATTGCAGAGCAAGTTTGGAGGAGTGAGTGGCCTCCTCCTGCTCCTAATTTGAGAGCTTGTATGTCGGTTGTGTTTTCTCCACAGATGATATTGGCCTTCTGTATATTTTCAGGTCTTGCATCAGACTGTAAACGTTTTCAGTTTATTTTATTTTGATGATTAATATACTTAGGTGGTCATCTGGGAATTTTTTTTAACAAAGAATCTAAACCATAAATCATCCAGAAATTTATGAAAAAACATTGGCTAAATTAAAACCCATCTTGACCTACTGTATAATGACTGACTTTAAATAATGCTTTAAAAGGACAATTCTGCTTGAAAGCCAGTTGGCACTTTTTTCTTTTCCATCTCCCTCTTCTCACCCTGTAATAGGCATCATCACGATGTTAGCAGGCCTTTCCGTATCACTTTGTGGCTGGACTACATTAAATTGTCCATTGAGAAGACATCATTAACTGTCTTAAGTCAGGAGTCTGTAGCCATCAACCTACATTTTACCACATTATGGAGGAATGCAGCAGAGGTCTAATAAATCTAATGGTGTCCAAAGTCACAAGAACAGACATGTCTTTGAATAATTTTTGACTTTAAAGAGAAATGGGGGTCACGTGACTGCTGAGTAAATATACATCTTCACAGAATCATAGAATCCCTACAGTGCAGATAGAGGCCATTCAGCCTATCAAGTCTACATAAGACCTATGAAGAGCACCCCACCCAGACCCATGCCCCATGCCCCATGCCCCACGTCCCTATAACCCCACATTTATCATTTGATAATCCACCTAGGCTGCACATCCCTGGCCAATCTACCGAACCTTCACTTTGGACTGAGGGAGGAAACCGGAGCACCTGGCAGAAACCTTCGCAAACAAGGGGAGAACATGCAAACTCCACATAGACAAACAGTCACCCAAGGCTGGAGGTGAACCCATGTCCCTGATGCCGAGTGGCAGCAGCGCTAATGACTGTCCCACTGTGATGCCCCAATTTTATGCAACTTAAGTACAGACCTAAGTTGGTATTAGAATGAACCCCTTTGCCAGTCAGTTGTTGACTCCGCCCTGCTGCAACGTTCTGAATAAGTAGAATTCATTTTGTTATCATCCCAAGGATTATTGTGTAGAAGAGACAGGAATGAGATCTTAGTTTTCAGTGGAACTTACTAAAAGATATTATAAGACATTAGTCAAGTATAGGAACTAGCTTAACAGAGGTGCCTTCAATAGCCAAGTTCCCTTCTAAAATACACTGTCCAGGACTCGAAATTAAAAACGGCACATCCGACAAAGTACTATTAGTAAAACTGTATTCAAGCACAATTCATCGCCTTCAAGAGGATATGGAGCGAATTTAGGAAAAAAAAGGAAAAGTATATTCTCAATTTGTAACGTCACAATTTGTCAGCCAGATTTCTAATTCAGGTCTGTTTGACTTATAGCAGACAGCTTGGACATAATATGCTTACTGTAGAAATTTGAAACATTAGGACAAATTCATTGTAGATTTAAGTTAGATTGCAACATATTACTTTGCATTCCAAACATTTCTTTTAAACAAACACAGTGATAGAGCCACATACATGGAATTTTAACAATACCTTAGTCAAATCTGCAGTCAAAACAGGCTTTCTATAGCCACGAAGCAAGGTACAGAATTACCAGAAAGTATTCACTACATCCTCAACAAAGGAACATTAATATCTTTGTATAAAATACGACCAATGTTTAAATTTTTTTTCATCTTACTGTTTTGTTTACATTCCTATAAAAGCATGATTGCTAATTGGATGCAAAGAATTAGCAGAGAGGAAACTTGTTAAGTGGCTGCTATTCAGAGAACAGACATGCAATTAAAACTTTGTCATTAGCTTCAACACATTGCATAAAAGCTGACAGATGGAGCAACAGTAAAATGTAGTGTTGATACTGACCCAGCAACTGTCAGACACTGAAGTTCAGCAGCAATTCGCACTGGATGGCTTGTGGGAATTAGATGTTTAAGTGCAAACTTCTCTACCATTCCTGACTTCAACTGAGCAGTGGCCAAATATACAGAACTGAATGTACCTGAGGAAGGTTAGAAATAATAAATTGTAATGAACAAAAACTGAACTTTTTTTGAAATATCTACAAGTTGGTCAAATTATCCTGAAACCATTTTTTGCAAATATGCAGCTGGATACCTACACATGAAACATGTAAACAAAATACAAAAATAATTATGTACAGGATTTCTAGAAGCAGTATGTGATATATTTTGCATGCCATTAAAAAAAACTCAATAGATTTCAAACAGCATAGTTTACAATGCAGGGTGCCAAATTAACTGGTTGTGTTCCAGCTTCCAAAAATATGTACAGCAAAAGCAGGTGGATTTTGATAAAAGCAGTCAATTCTAATATGCATTAGTGCACATCATACTATGAAGCCTACATTAAAAAGATATTTGGAACACTACAGTCACAGAGATATACAGCACGGAAACACACCCTTCGGTCCAACTCGTCCATGCCGACCAGATATACTATATAAATCTAGTCCCATTTGGGCCATATCCCTCTAAACCGTTCCTATGCACATACCCATCTAGATGCCTTTTAAATGTTGTAATGGCAAGGGTGAGCAAGAATTGTCAACCAGTACGAGCATTGTGAAATTGCGGGTCCTATGGAACTTGTCGATGACAACAAGAGCCATGTGGCCAGCATTTCAGTGGGAAAGCACAAAGTCTGCAGAGTTCTGAAGTAGCTGAGATTTATAAAGAATGAAACTAGTGAGGAAAGCTTATCAAGCTAAAAGTAAGGATTTTGACAGTAGTTTGGGTGAGGTCATAGTTCAGATGAGCAATATTCTGGGGTATACTTCTGCACTTCGGGTGACCTTTCATAAAATTGTAAACAATACCAGTTTAAAAGAAATTATTAGACTGGACTGATGCAATCACAGCACTCAAGCATTTGGTTGGTTTTGCCTAAAGAAAGTGGCTGATTGGAGAGTTAGGGGAGACAATGGCCTAATGGTATGATCGCTGGACTTAATCCAGAAACCCGGATAACATTCTGGGGACGGTTCGAATCCCACCACGGCAGATAGTGGAATTTGAATTCAATAAAACATATCTGGAATGAAGAATCTAACGATGACCATGAATCCATTGCCGATTGTAAGAAAAACCCATCTGGTTCACTAATGTCCTCTAGGGAAGGAACCGCCATGCTTACCTGCTCTGGCCTACATGTGACTCCAGACCCACAGCAATGTGGTTGACTCTGAACTGCCCTCTGGCCAATGAGGGATGGACAATAAATGTTGCCTAGCCAGCGACATCCTCATTGCGTTAATGAATAAAGAAAAGAATAATGAGCATTTCTAGTCTTTAATGTCAATGGAATGTGTTTATGTTGAGGTCTCCAGTCTTTTCTGACTTCCCCCCCACCCTCCTCCTGCCCACTAATCAGGGGTGACTTCAAATTTTTGTTCTTTTTTGAAATTCATTCACACGGTGAGGGCATTTCTGGCTTGGCAGCATTTATTGCCCATCCATAATTGCCCAAAGGGCAGTTAAGTATCAACCGCACAGCTGTGTCTGGAGTCACATGTAGGCCAGACCAGGTAAGAATGGCAGATTTCCTTCCCGAAAAGAACCAAATGGGTTTTCCCATCATCACCAGTGGATTCATGGTCATCATTAGACACTTAATTCCAGACTTACATGAAATTCAAATTCCACCATCTGCTACAACTGATTCAAACCCAGCTCCCCAGAACAATACCTGGGTTTCTGGATTAATAGTCAGTGATAATACTATTAGGCCATTGCCTCCCCATAATGCAGAAAATCAAATTGGCAAAGGTAGCCATGAAGAAGAACTCATACACTGTATTTAAGGCAGTTTCCTAGAACAATATCTTGTGGACTCAACCATGGATCAAGCTATTTTGGATCTGCCAATATGTAATGAAGCAGTTTTAATAAACTTCTCAAGGTAAAGATCCCTGGGGAACAGTGACCATAATATGGTAGAACTTAGCATTCAGTACGAATGAGAGAAACTTGGGTCAGAAACAACTGTGCTAAATTTAAATAAGGGTAATTATATAGGGATGAGGGCGGAGCTGGCTGAAGTGGACTGGGAAAGTAGTTGAACAGCTATTACAATTAAGGAACAATGGCAGCTATTTAAGGAAATATTTAATGACATACAGCAAAGATATAGTCCAGTGAGGAAGATATGTTCTAGGAAGAGGATAAACCACCCATGGTTAATTAAGGAAGTTGAGGATATCAAATTGAAAGAAGAAAAACATACAATGTGGCAAAGATTAGTGGATTGGGAAAGCTTTAAAAAAACCAAAGATGACCAAAAATAGCAAAGAAAGAGAAAATAAAGCATGAAGACAAACCAGCAAGTAATATAAAAACAGATGGCAAGAGCTTCTTTAAATGTATCAAAGAGAAAACATGGGTCAAAGTGAATATTGGTCCCTCAGAGAACAAGACTGGGAAAATAATAATGTGGAACCAGGAAATGGCAGAGGAACTGAGTAAGTATTTTGTATCATCAAGTTAGAAGACATTAATAACATTCTAAAAGAAGTTAAATAATCAAGGGGCCCAAGGCAAGAGAGTAAACAAACAATAAATTTCAATGCAGAAATAGTTTTGGGAAAGTAATGGATCTAAACGCTGATATGTTCTTCAGACATGATGGGTTGCCAGGTAGGACACAAAAAAAATTAGCAACAGAGATAGATTTTCTTATGAGAGGTGGCATTATTGAACAATACAAGGTCCTTGGGGGCTCAATAGAATAGATGTAGAGAGGTTGTTGCCCCTGGCAGACAGTATACAACCAGAGGGCATAATCTCAGGTGTAAAGGGTTGCATATTTAAGACAGATGAGGACAAATAATTTCTTGGAGGATAGTTGCTCTGTGGAATGTTTTTACTGCAGAGGCTATCAAGGCTGGGTTAAGTGTATTTAAGGCTGAGATGCACAGATTTTTAAACTTTCTAAGGGAATCAAGGATTATAGGAATACTGGATTAGCCATGATCTCATTGAATTGCAAAGTATGTGGGCTGAATGGCTTTTTCTCGCTCCTACATTTTACGGTCACACCCTTAAGCCTTCTATTAAAAGAAAACTCTGACTACTTTATGTTTTAATGAAATGATTATTAGGGTGGTGAGAAGAAAGCACCAGTTTATTTGAAAGTTAAGTCTTCTTCAGTTTGAAAAAGATAATGTTGATCAATAACCTTAAAAAAAATCTCACTATGAATGCACTTGCTCTGCTTATGCTACACTGCCCAAATTGGTCGTTGAAATCCTCATAAATTATATATTCTAAAGTAGGACATGATGTGTTAAAGAAGTATACAATGTCAGGTCTGTTTTTCGATGTCTGCCAGAATCTAATAAATCAGCCCACACCCCTTCAACTAAAATCCTGATGTAGACTTACATCACAGCTGATTGCTGAAACAGTTCCCGTAAAAGGCTTGGTTAGGAACAAAAGAGTATTTTCATTGAGGTATGCCAGAGAGCGATATTAAAAGATATAAAAGATCAAGATCAAAAAGAAGTTTATTGTTTCTAAGTATTTGCAATTAAAGTCTAAACTTACCTTCACCAATTTTATCCTCAATAAAAAATATCTTGGATAACTGAGGTACTGCTTCATATAGTCTTTCAATATCCATTTTAATCTCTGCTATTAATAAAAAAGCAATTAACTTGTTAGTGCAATATTCTTTGATTAAATAAAATAAAAAAACTATCCTGATTAATAAATAAATTTCACTTTTTCTGCTTTAAATATTTGTTTTAGTCTGACACTTTCTTTTAAATGGCTAAAAAGCAGTCCACTTGAAGACTTTCCATAACGCATTGTCTTTGAATACCATGATGTTCTTTGACATGCAATGTCACAATGTATAGCAAATTGGAAGATCAGCGCAGTTAATAAGCCAGTGCATTTACTTTTGCATAATGGTCCAATCAGCAAACTGACAAAATTCAGCCAAGGTCCATAGATGAACCCATAGGACAAGCAGCATTGCGACTAGCAACTGTAGGGTTCAGCCAACAACCATTAAATATTACCAGTAATATTAACATTGTTCTCTTTTACCACTCACAATACAAGTTCCAAGGTTCTTCAGACTTGCACGATCAGGACGTGTTGACTTTCAGTTGGAAAGACAAGGCAGATTGTATAAAAATCAACGTAGCCCTAGTCAATAATGAAAGGCCCTGTATTTCTCCACATTAATCTACACGCAACAATCTCAATAATCCATCTAGCAGCCTAGCAAACAGGCTAGGTTGTTAACCAATATTAAGCAAAAGGACAGTGCCAGGCTCGAGGAAGTCAAGGGGCGAGTTATGCACTGAAGAATTAACAATACAAAAGGTTCAAGGGACTAAATAATTTACATCAGTTCCTATGCTCAAAAATGGTAAAAGTTGGCAAAGGATTATTTTTTAAAAAATCTCAATTTTTGGCAGCTCAACTATAGTGCAAGAACGATTTGAATCAGATACAGTTAGCGTCACTGCTGAAGTCAGCTGAAAGTCTCCTCAAAAGTGAGATCAGAGCCTTACGCTGAACATAGAATACCAAAGCTTTCGAAAAAAAAACTTATTTTTCTCATCAACCTGTTCAGAGACGTTACTACACACTTCTGGAACAGGTGGGACTTGAACCTTGGCCTCCCGGTTCAGCGGTAGGGACTCTTCCACTACACCACAAGAGGCCCCAGAAATGCTCTTTGGACAAGAAAAACACGCACAGCTGTGGTATAGGCACAAATAGCATTACAGCAACTCAGGAAACAGCACAAATAAATAATTATGCAACCCTCCAGTTCCTCCATAACAGACCCTCCCATTGTCTCCTTCAATTTTGCCTAAGATCTTTGGTAGGCTTGTCATAAAGTATGCTCGGGTCAATTCAAGAAAGTAGGTAATAGCATGATAGCCTAAACTGGCTTACAGCTATGGAAAAGTGGTGAACCCATTATTGATAAGCAATTAGCTCAGCAGGATCAAGTAAATTTCTTTGAACCTTGAAGTTTTTTTACCTCGACAAGAAAAACTTTACTCCACAAGCACATACATTGTGCATACCAAAATGACAGCTACTTGCCAGATTCAAAGTAACTGTCATTGCAGCTAATTTAGGAAGAGAGGGAGGTGATGGCCTAGTGGTATTATCATGAGACTATTAATCCAGAAACTCAATGAATGGTTTAAATCCCACCATGGCAGATGGTGGAATTTGAATTTTAAAAAAACCTGGAATTAAAGAATCTATGAAAGATCATTGTCAATGGTCAGAAATACACATTTGACTCACTAATGTCCTTCAGGGACAGAAATTTGCTATCCTCATCTAGTCTGACCCAGGTGACTCCAGACCCACAGCGGTGTAGCTGACTCTCAACTGCTCTGTGAAATGAGAAAATTGAATCAATTGCTATGGAGACTCAACAAAGAAATGAAACTGCCTTAGGTTAAACAATGGGCAAGGAAACCTCCTGCTGGTTACCATGTACTGTCTGCGCTCAGATGAAGAATCAGTACTCTTCCATGTTGAACAACATTTGGAGGAACCACTGAGGGTGGCAAAGGTGCAAAATGTACTCTGAGTGGGAGATTTCAATGTCCACCAAGAGTGGCTCAGCAGCAGCCCGACTGTTCAAGCATGTCCAGTCCTAAAGGACACAGCTGCTAGACTGTGTCTGCGGCAGGTGGTGAGGAAACCAACAAGACGGAAAATCATACCTGACCTCATCCTTACCAAGCTGCTGGCTACAGATGCAACTGTTCATGACAATAATATCATTAACAGTCACCAACGCACAGTCCTGTGGAGACAAATTCTCACCTTCAAACTGACAATACCCTCCATCATGCTGTGTGGCACTATCACTGTAATAAATGGGACAGACTTCAAACAGATCTAGAAACTCAATATCAAGCATCCATTAGGCACGGTGGGTTATTGGCAACAGCAGAATTGGACTCCAACACAACCTGCAACCTCATGGCTGATTTATTCGCCACCTCAACCATTACCGTCAAGCCAGGAGATCAACCCTGGTTTAATGGAAAGTACAACGGACATACCAGGAGCAGCACCAGGCACACCTAAAAATGAGGGTCCAACCTGGTGAAGCTACCAAATGGGGGAGGCGAGGGCCCAGTGGTATTATTGTTGGACTGTTAATCCAGGAGACCCAGATAACGTTCTGGGAATCTGGGTCCAAAGCCCGCCACAGCAGATGGTGGAATTCAATAAAGTATTTGGAACTAAGAATCTAATGATGACTGTGAATCCATTGCCAATTGTTGGGAAAAATCCATCTGATTCACTAATGTCCTTTAGGGAGGGAAACTGCCATCCTTACCTGGTCTGGCCTATATGTGACTCCAGTCCCACAGCAGTATGGTTGACTCTGAACTGCCATCTGGGCAATTAGGGATAGGGAATAAATGCTGCCTCGCCAGTGATGCCCTCATCCCGTGAATGGATAAAGAAAAAAAAGGACTACTTGCATACTAAACAGCATAAGTAGCAAGTGATAGTAGGAGCTAAGCGATCCCACAAACAACAACCAAATCTAAGCTCTGAAGTCCTGCCACATCCAGTCATGAATGGTGGTGGATAATTTGACAACTCAGTGGAGGTGGCGGCTGCACGAATATCCCCATCCTCAATGATGGAAGGATCCAACATATCAGTGCTAATCATGAGGGTGAAGCATTCAAAACAATCTTCAACCAGAAGAGCCGAATGGATGATCTATCTCAGCCTCCTCCAGTGGTTCCCAGCATTACAAATACTGGTCTTCAGCCAATTCCATTCACTCCATGTGATAAAGAAACAATGAGGTACACTGTTTTGTGCCCCAACAACATTTCACAAACTGGATTGAAGACTTGTGCTCCAGACTTGCCATTCCCCTAGCCAAGCTCTTCCAGTAAAAGTTGTCCAAGTTGGTGGCAGAGTAGCAGGGTTGAGCCCTGGACTCATCCACTCCCAGCTGCTTTCTTTTTCTCTTTTTACTTTTGCTCTTTTTCTTTTTTTTTCCCTTCATTTTCTTTTCTTTAAAGCCTGAAGAGTGGCAGTGGCCAAGGCCAAGTGAGGGATGAAGGAAGAGGCCCCTAGCAGTAGCAACACCAGAGCTAGGTGGGCATGGCTCCACCCCAGCCCAGGATCTCCCGGCGAGAAAGGAGCAGGTTCTGGGCTGGCTCCCCCAGCCCAGACTTCAGGTCCGCAGCTAGGCCTGGGCACCTGAAGGAGCAGAAGCATCAGTGAAAGGGATGGCAGGAGACACTAACAACTAATGAACGGCGGGAAGAGAAGTGTCTGGAAGAGCGTCAGATGAGGAACAGGAGGAATGGATCCTACACATTCCCAGGCCCATGGCACCAGCTCGGAGGTGGAGGCTGCGGGAGTGCCAGTGGCAGAAGCCTGTAACCAAGACCTCAGAGCCCATTTCAGAGACTCTGGCTGATGCCAAGCAGTGACTGGAGTAGCAGCAACTGGAGTAGCAGCAGAGAACGAATAAGAGAAAAATGAACTCTATTGCAGTAAAATCTTGCATTACAATCAGTGTTTCCAGATGGGGCCAGAGCATGATGACACTTTGCATACAACATGCAAAAAAAAACTTTTCACTGTGTTTCTATATACATGCGATAATAAGTCTAAATCAGTAGTTACAACCCTGGCATCTAGAACATAGAACATAGAACAGTACAGCACAGTACAGGCCGAACTTTTACCCTAAACCTAAGGTCTATCTAACCTCCACTCCTACCTTATACTATCATCCATATGCCTATCTAATAGCTGCTTAAGTGCCCCTAATGAGGCCGACTCCACTACCCTCTCCGGCAATGCATTCCACGCGCCGACCACTCTCTGAGTAAAGAGCCGACCTCTGACGTCTCCCTGATATCTACCTCCTTTCACTTTAAAACTATGTCCCCTCGTAAAAGCTACCTCCACCCTAGGAAAAAGTCTCTGGCTGCCTACTCTATCTATATCTCTGATCATTTTGTACACCTCTATCAAGTCACCTCTCATCCTTTGTCGTTCTAAGGAGAAAAGCCCTAGCTCTCTCAACCTTTCCTTGTAAGACCTTCCCTCCATTCCAGGCAACATCCTGGTAAATCTCCTCTGCACCTTTTCTAACGCTTCCACATCTTTCCTGTAATGAGGTGACCAGAACTGGACACAATACTCCAGATGTGGCCGAACCAGGCTTTTGTATAGCTGCAGCATAACTTCACAGCTCTTGAACTCAATCCCTCTATTAATGAAAGCTAACACACCATACGCCTTAACAACTCTATCTACCTGGGTGGCAGCTTTCAGGGAACTGTGAACATGAACCCCAAGATCCCCCTGCTCCTCCACACTGCCGAGAATCTTTCCGTTAACCCTGTATTTTGCTTTCAAGTTTGTCCTTCCAAAATGAATCACCTCATACTTTTCAGGGTTAAACTCCATCTGCCACTTCTCAGCCCAGCTCTGTGTCCTTTTGTAACCTCGAACAGCCCTCCGCACTGTCCACAACGTGACCCACCTTCGTATCGTCTGCAACCTTGCTAATCCACCCTTCTACTCCTTCATCCAAATCATTTACAAAAATCACAAATACAGGAGGACCCAGAACGGTACACCACTCCTAACTGAGCACCAGTTTGAATATTTTCCATCCTTTACCACCCTTTGTCTTCTAAGGGTCAGCCAATTCCCCCCTATCCCATGCCTCCTTACCTTCTGCATGAGCTTACCATGGGGAACCTTATCAAATGCCTTACTTAAATCCATGTATACCACATCCACTGCTCCACCTTCATCCACGTGTTTGGTCACCTCTTCAAAGAATTCAATAAGGTTTGTGAGGCATGATCTACCCCTCACAAATCCATGCTGACTATCAAGAATCAAACTGTGCCTTTCCAAGTGATCATAAATCCTGTCTCTCAGAGCCCTTTCCAATAATGTTCCCACCACTGACGTAAGACTAACTGGCCTGTAATTTCCGGGGTTATTCCTGCTCCCTTTTTTGAACAAGAGAATGACGTTTGCCTCTCTTCAATCTTCTGGCACTATACCCGTGGACAGTGAGGATGAAAAGATCATCGCCAAAGTCCCTGCGATCTCGCCCCTCGCTTTCCATAGAATCCTTGGATAAATCCCATCAGGCCCGGGAGACTTATCTATCTTCAAGTTCCTCAGAATTCCTAGCACATCTTCTTTACTAACATCAACCTCCTCGAGCCTACCTGCCTGTTTCACAACGTCCTCCTCCACAACTAGGTCCCTCTCAGTTGCGAATACTGAAGAAAAGTATTCATTAAGGACCTCTCCTATCTCTTTAGGCTCTGTGCACAAATTCCCTTTACAATCCTTGATCGGCCCTACCCTTTCTCTGGTCATTCTCTTGTTCTGCACATACATGTAAAAAGCCTTGGAGTTTTCCTTGATCCTATCTGCCAAGGTTTTCTCATGCCCCCTTATAGCTCTCCTAAGCCCTTTCTTCAGCTCCTTCCTGGCTAATTTGTATCCCTCTAGAGTCTTTTCCGTTCCTCTTTTCCAAAACCTTACATAAGCCTCCTTCTTCCTCTTAACCAGTCGTTTGACCTCTCTCGAGAACCAAGGCTCCCTCACTCGACCGCATCTTCTCTGCCTGCTCGGGACAAACATATCGAGCACATGCAGTATGCATTCCTTAAACAATCTCCACATTTCTGTGGTGCTCTTCCCTGACAGTATCTGTTCCCAGTTTATGTTACCAGTATCTACCAGACAATGTGGAGAATTGACCAGGAATGTCCTGTATACAAAGAGCAGGACAAATCCAACCTGGCCAATTACCGCCCCAATCTCTCTTGATCATCAGTAAAGTGATGGAAGGCATCATCAATAGTGCTCAGCAATACCCTGTTCAGTGAAGCCCAGTTTGGGTTTTGCCAGGACCACTCAGCTCCTGACCTCATTACAGCCTTGGTTCAAACATGGATAAAGGAGCTGAATTCCGGAGGCGAGGAGAGAGTGACAGCCCTCGACATCAAGGCCACAGGATGCTGTGGGAAGTTAGGAAGGAAGTTGCAGGCCCCAGAACTGAATATTTGTATCATCTATAAACATGGGTGAAGTACCAGAGAGCTGGCAGGTGGATAATGTTGTGCCATTGATAAGAAAGGCTGTCAGGAGAAGCCTGGAAACTGCAGATTTGAGAGTCTTAACATCAGTGCTGGGCAAGTTGTTGGGGGTGATTCTGAAAGATAAGATTTAGATGCATTTTGAGACGCAAGGATTGATTAGGCATAGTCAGTGTGGTTTTGTGCGAAGAAAATAGTGTCTCACAAACTTGATTGAGTTTTATGAGGATGTGACCAAGAAGGTAGATGAGGTCAGAGAGTAGATGTTGTTTACTTGGACTTTAGTAAAGCCTTTGATAAGATTCTGCATGGGAGACTCATCAGTAAAGTTAGATCACATGGGATTCAGGATGGGCTTGCCAATTGGATACAAAATTGGCTTTATGGCAGGAGACAGAGGGTGGTGGTGGAAGATTATATTTTGGACTGGAGGCCCATGATTAGCGGTGCCATGCAGGCAACACTGCTCTGGCTGCAGAGAACCATGTCTATCTTCCTGACAATCCCTTGGCTGAACCTGCTAACACTGTGCTCCTGTGAACTCCTTCCACTTGAATGTCTTCATATAACACTGCGCCATGGTCAGTTTGCTGATCAACTTTAAATTCCATTACACCTCCCATGTTGTGCCCACAAAAGTCCTGCCTGTGTCATAACTTGCCTTGAAGCCCATCCACCATCAACTTTGCTGGCTGAGTTATTTACTTCTGGTTTAAAATTTTCATCCATATTTTCACATTTCCTCTTGATCTCACCTTTTTCCCTATTCCTGTAATTTCTTCCAGCCCTACATCCCTTTTCTCTCTTCGAATTGTGCATTTCTGATTTTAATTACTTCACCTTTGGTGGCCATGCATTCTGCCAATTCCAACCTCTAGAAGTTCCTCTCCAAGACTCTTCACCTCAATTCACGGAGTATTTTTCAGGTAGAGGTAGATAGATTGTTGTTAGGCAAGGGAATCGATGGTTATCAGTAGTAGATGAGATTATGAAATTTAAAATACCAGCAGATCAGCCAAAATCTTATTAAATGTGCAGGCAGGTGGGACTAGTTTAGTTTGGGATTATGGTCAACATGGACTGGTTGACCGAAGGGTCTGTTTCTGTGCTGTATGACCCCATGATTGGAGTTGAACTTGCAGGTGGTGGTCTTCCCATGCATCATGTGGCCTTGGCCTCCTCGATAGATTGGATAAATGACTTGCTAGCGTGCAGTCGTGCAAACATAAACTGATACTCTATGCTATAAACAAAGTCCAGACTGAACACTTGAAAATTCTGTTTCTTCACTTAACCTATCCATCACAATTTCCAAATTTTTCATTTAGCTTTTACCTTTATATTTGCTATCTGTAGGGAGATCAACAAATTCTGTATTGTGCTTATCAGTTACAATGTTATTTCTGCTCTTCCACTGTTGTTCTATGCAGAGCCCCCTGACATCGAAGGTTGAAGCTTAAAAGCTTTGGAAGCATCTAAACTAATGAAAAAATTAAAGTCTGGTGCAAAACAGTGTATACATTTTAACCGGGGATAAACAGCACGTGGTTTACCTCAGGCTGAATGAAGCTCTAATAATCCAAAACATGCAATAGTGTGTTGGCTGTGTTTTTGCAGATTGCACATTAACAACAGTGGTTAAAAACAGATAGTCATATTTTTTGAGATGTAATCCATTTACTATATTAACAAGGAATTTTTCACTGTTTCTCAGGCTGGTTGCTAGATGGATTGATTCAATATACAGTGGTTTGGTGATACACAACTTGAGTTGGGGGGCAAAGAAACATGATCTTAGGAACATAGGAGGAGTAAGTCATTCAGCCCCTTGAGGCTGTTCTTCCATTCAATAACATCACGACTGATCCATGACCTAACTCGCCTTTGGCCCATATCACTTAATACCTTTGCTTAACAAAAATTTATCCATCTCGGATTTAAAATTAACAACTGATTCTGCATCTATTATTTGTGGAAGAATGTTCCACAAACATTTACTACCCTTTGCATGAATAAGTGCTTCTTAACATCTTTCCTGAACTGACTGCCCTGAATTATCAGACCATGCCCCTGGGTTCTAGAATCACCAGTGCAAAGAGTTTCTCTTTATCTACCCTGTCTTTTCTTGTTAATATCTTGAATATCTTCAATCAATTCACCCCATCTAAATTCTAGAGAAAGCAGGCCAAATTTTTATAATCTCTCCTCATAACTCAATTCCTGAAGTCCAGGTATTATTCTTGTAAAATTACACTGTACTGCCTCCAGGGCAATATTTCCTTCCTAAAATTGTGGTGCCCAGATCTGCTATTCATCCTGCACTCACTCACTGGACCAACATAAGAATGCCAAATTTCAAAGGCAGATCCTTGCAGAGGAACATGTCTATATTCTAGCTAGTGTAACTGAGTCACATTGCAGGCACATCTAATAATCCAAAATAGTTGGTGTACATGCTATGGATTACACCAAGAACCAATTTAAGACTATGAGTTTGGCTCATGGTGCTCCTTACATGTGCATGCTAAAATCTACATATATTCAAACACAAGGACCTGTGCAGGTTCAATGAACATGTCCAGGCACCCTGAATCAAACAAAATAAAAGTGGAAGACAACAGTTTCGTCATGCAATCTCCATGGCAACACCTTGACTAATCAGAATCAACTTGTCAACAAATCAGTACTTTTTTTGCATGTGGTATAAATTGTTGCTACTTTTGAAATTTGGCATTCTTGCATCTATACTAATGGAGTTCAAGACAAACAAAACTTGACAGCACGTCTCCTTTTTTGGTTCAGCAAAAATTCAACATATGAAGGCTCCTTTGTTTAGTCAGAGGCATTTGATCCTGTCGCAACTTGGTCCTCACTGTCAAGGCTTGTGACTGACCATGGATGACAGGCATCAGGTGGTACTGATTGTTGGCTGATGAATGCTGTGCATATCCAAAGACAAAGTAATGATCATTTTAACACAAGCTCTGCACAACCTGAATGCTAACATTTATCTTTCATGTAAAAACACCAGAAAACTTTGAAGGAGCACTACAGCATTCTATCTGAATTTCACTGAACTTACTTGAAAGTTTGCAACCATCTTCATTTTCTTTACCAGAATCATTCTTCAATTGATTATTGTGAGTCAGATTGAATGCATCTTTTGACAAGTTTTCCAAAGATGCTGTCATGGTATTTCACTAAAAAAAAAGCACATCAATAGTTAAAAGCTGGCAATGCCCAAATAATTTTCACAGGAAAGCAGAATTATTCTTTCAAAGTCCAGTAGAATTTTGCAGCACAGAAAGAGGCCATTAGGCCCAATGCACATGTCTAGGGTCCCTGAAAGAACATTTCAATGTGCCCTAACCTAAACACCCTCCAGCTTTTTCCCTGGACAATTTAGATTTTATGTGGTTATTTAGTTTGTGCACTGTGAACAATGTGTAGCAAAGTCTGGCTGGAATCAGTTATTTTGCAACATGATGTGGACTTTTTAAATGCAGCTAGAATTGTATTAATTTTTCCAAGAGAAATTGTCTTAATAGCAGATGAAGATTAATACAGCATTAATAATATTTTTTATATTTAAGAAAGAAACTGGAAACAGGTAGCAATAAAAAAAAGTGTGTTGACTGCATTGTAGACATATTGGTTCATATCATATCCCCATTCTTTCAAAAGGGAACTTTTTTTTTAATCTTAAATGGGAGGGTGAACTTTAAAAAGTATAAACTTTCTGCACCCGTGAATGGCATTAGTGCTATAATCAACCAGCAGCTCAAGGCAGATCCAGTGAAACCTCTACCACATCATAGCAACTTCAACTCCCAAGGCTGCTCATTACTTGTGTAACATTGAAATTCACATTCATGGTCAATCAATTCTTGGCCAGTACCTTAGGACTGTTAAGCATTCCAGCTGCGTAGCACTGCTCTGCCTGTTATAAATATGTATTCAAAAGAGCTATTGAACACATGATCCTAATAATCCTGCATCTTCTGAGCATTGAAAACAGCATGGCTCTGCACAGTCCCTGTGATCTGATGAAAACAGATTATAAAAGAAACTAAAAATCAAATCCAAACCTCACTGATGAAATGAAATGAGATTGGCTAATCTCAACTCACTAATTAGTGTGTGGGAACCCACAGCTTGAACTACTCCTGTTTTGGCAATCTCATTCAATAGAAGCCACAGGATGACCGATATAGGAAATGGAAAATGTCACTTTTTCTGAATTTGAGCCAAGGCACACTTCTGCAGCAAAGCAGAGGATGCTTTACTTTCTACCTGCCACTCGAAACTACAAATACCTGATGCTGACCGACAACTTGCAAATGTGGGGAAAGGCTGGGAAAACAGCTGACAGCCAGAAGAAATGGGTTAACATTTTAGATACAATTTAGCTTTTATGATGGCCCAAAACAACTACCCATCTTCTTTGTTTCAGATGCAGACTAAAATACTACATGCATGCCGAATTTTCTACTTTCATTCTCAGCTAGCTTTACTATTGTACACCATCGTACCCTTTGCTCTACTACCTGAATGCATCTTCCCCAGTATAAACTCAAAAGATGTCTCTAGGAAAAATAAACAAGGAAAACTGCATACATTTCCCAGAGCATATGTGGAGCTTTAAAGTAAATTGTATAACAGAATGATCATTTTTACAGCTATTGCTATTAGGAATGAAAAAAAATCTTTAAAATTCCCCATTAAGAAAGCTTTTTACTAGTATGACCACAATGCAATGTATAGATCTCAAGGCAAAGACTTTAATTGACTCCAGCAAAAAGGAAAGCCAGAAAGCAAATCCTTCATATCAATTTTCCTTCTCCAGAGATACTGATGTCCAAGTGGGGACTCCAACACAACACGACTCCAACACTCTGGTATAACCTAGTTTAAAATTCCACTGTAATAATGTTACATAGCGCTGAAAACACTTTGGAGCTATAATTTTATTACATACAATTTGTACTGGAGTAGCTGAAAAAATAAATTCTATAGCTGAACTTCAGTCCATGTGTCATTAACCGAGTACTTTAAAAGACACAGCAGGCACACAACGAGAAGTGTCACAAAAACAACAGGTTAATGCATCTAAGTGTTTGATGTGATCTAATAATAGTGCATTCAACTGGAAAAATAATTGGCTGGGAAAGACAACTTACTAGGCAAGTCATTTACTACTGGGAATTTCAATGTCAGTTTATTCAAACCCTCATTACAGAGATGAATTGAAGCAGGAGTGCCCTAAAGCGAAAGCTATAATGTAGTTAAATTGCAGCCTTTTACCATCAAGTATCTGTATCAAGCACTGAAATGGGGAGATGCAGCACAAATCAGAGCAAATCTCTCAGTGCTGCCTCAATCTTCTCAATGCCAACTTCAGAAAACCAAGTCTATTTCTCTCACAGACTCCATTTTGGACTTGGTTCTGTGCTTTTGATTCTGGGTTGGAACTCAACTCCACACAATGGATTAAAAATGAAGATTTTAATCTGATCCACATAAGGTGTATTCAAAACCAGACAAAATGTGACCCATATTAATAATTCAAATTGAATTTTAAAAATTATTTCCATTCCTCCTGTCAAACAAAGTGGAAGTGCCAGAGAATTGGAAAGAAACAAATGTGACAAATTATTCAAGAGCAGGATACAAGGACATTTCTGATAGCTATAGAATGTTGGCCAACTCATCATCAGTGGTGGATAAGGTTTCAAAAACAATGATATGTGGCATTTAACAGTAGAAACCACCTCCAAGACAGCTTTTTCAGTTATCAGCAGAAGTGCACCATATGAAACTATCCCATTTCTAACAGATTTCCCGCATGTCCATCATCTTACATGGACAGAAGGATGCCGCCATAATCAGCGGTGAAGAAAAAAAAAAAATCAACAGTCGCTTGAAGTCCTGCCCCGGTTTGCTTTACCAAAATGCAATACCTCACATTTATCTAAATTAAACACCATCTGGCACTCCTTGGCCCATCAAGGTCCTGCTGTAATCCGAGATAACCTTCTTCACTGTCGACTACAGCACCTATTTTGGTGTCATCTGCAAACTTACTAACCATGCCTCCTATATTCACATCCAAAATCATTTATATAATGAACGAAAAGCAGTGGATCCAGCACTATTCTTGCGGCACACTGCTGGTCACAGTCAACTACCACCCACTGTCTCCTACTTTCAAGCCGATTTTGTATCCAATTGGCTAGCTCCTCTGAATCCCACGTGATCTAATTTTGCTAACTAAGCCACATTGATGATCGCTAACCAGTCAATGCCTTTCCAAATGCATGTAAATCCTGTCCCTCAGAATCCCCTTCAACAACTTACCCATCACTGATGTAAGGCTCACCTGTCTATAGTTCTACGGCTTTTTCTTCCAGCATTTCTTAAATAATGGCACCATATTAGCCACCCTCCAGTCTTCCAGCACCTCATTCGTAGCTGTCTCAGCAAGAGGCTGAGCAATCTCTTCTGTAGCTTCCCACTAAATTCTGGGAAACAACTGATCTGGTCCCAGGGATTTACCTACCTTATGCATTTTAAGACCTCCAGCACCCCCTCTTCTGTAATATGAACACTTTCCAAGACATCACTACCTATTTCCCCAAGTTCCCTAGCTTCCATGTCCTTCTCTGTAGAAATACCAATGTGAAATATTCATTTAGTATCTCACCCATCTCCTGTGGTTCCACTCAGACAGCCATGTTGATTTTTGAAGGGCCCTACTCTCTCTCCAGTTACTCTTTTGCTGGTAATGTATTTGTAGAATCATTTGGATTCTCCTTAACTCTATTTGCCAAAGCTATCTCATGTCCCTCTTTTGCCCTCCTGATTATACTCCTCAATCCCAGCTGTCTATACTTGCTTTCCTTTTCTTGACCACATCCTCAATTTCTCTAGTCATCCAGCATTCCCTACACCTACCAGCCTTGTCATTCACACTAACAGGAACATACTGTTTCTAAACTCTCGTTATCTCATTTTTAAAGGCCTCCCACTTCCCCACCGTCCTTTACCTGTGAATAGTTTCCCCCAACCAACTTTCAAAAAGTTCCCATCTAATATGGTCAAAATTGGCTTTACGCCAATTTGGAACTTTAACTTTTGATCAATTCTATCCTTTTCCATAACTATTTTGAAACTAGTTGAATTTTAAGAAAATATTGGATAAACTGTCATATAAAAGGCAGGTTAACTGTGGCTTATGATTTAGAAGGAACAGTGTAAGCTTGAAAAAATTTGGCTTAAGGACATAAGGTAGCAAGTTGTGCTAAATGGGTTTTTTTTAGGCTGGAGGGTAGAAGACACTGATACTTTAAGAGTTAATACCAAAACTACTGCTTTTTTTTTTTGGAAAAACATGATCGACCTGTATACTGGAATCCACAGTAAAAATTGTCATGCTTCTAAGTTTAGAAGTGATGTCTTTGACAATGAGAGTGATACCAATCAACTGAACAGGATATAGGTAAGCAGGCAGAATGGGCTGACAATCAGCAGATGAAATTTAAAACTGATAAGTCATACAGTCATACAGCACGGAAACCGACCCTTTGGTACAACTAGTCTATGCTGAACATAATCCCAAACTAAACTAGTACCATCTGCCTGCTCCCAGCCCACAACCTTTCCTATTCATGTTCCTATTCAAAATGTCTTTTAAATGTTGTAACTGTACCCACATCCACCACTTCCTCTGGAAGTTCATTCCACACGTGAACCAGCCTTTGTGTAAAAAAATTTGCCTCTCATGCCTTTTCTAAATCTGTCTCCTCTCATCATAAAAATGTGCTCCCTAGTCTTGAAATCCCCCATCCTAGGGAAAAGACAACAATCATTAACTCTATCCATACCCCTCATTATTTTATGAGCTTCTACAAGGTCACCTCTTAACCTCCTTTGCTCTAGTGAACATATCCTAGCCTATCTTTATAACTCAAACATTCCATACCAGGCAACATCCTGGTAAATTTGTTCTGAACCCTCTCCAGCTTAATAATATCATTCCTATAACTGTTATTGGAGACAGGTTAAACCACCACCAGTCACCCGAGTGTCACCATACCTCAGGGTAGCAGAGAGGTCCATGAGGATCCTGGCAACCTCACTACAATCCAGAAATCTTGAAATCGTTGAGGTTGCTCTGAAGGATGCTATACAAATGCAGGTT